AAAGCCTTCAAAGCATTTATAATTATTGGAGTTAATAGAAATAGATTTTTAAAGACGGTGATTGTATCAAGTGCTCTTATAATAATTTCAGTATAATGTGGGAAATCACGGAACTGGCATTTGCTCACTTACTTCCCAACTTCATCGAGTGTTGGTGGGACGCCCTGATCTTAGACGTTTTAATTTGCAACGGACTTGGAATCTGGTGTGGACTGAAGATTTGCCGAGCCCTAGAAATGCGAGAATACAAATGGGAAAGCATCAAAGACATCCATTCAACCACAGGCAAGAAATTTCCGCAAATCGCCCACAAAGGGGTTTATTAACGTTTCGCTTCAGGAAAACTTAAGCGTGCCATGTTACAATTTACACCGGAAAGCTGGACGTCGGTCAGATGGCTCGACCCAAAGTGCTCTTACATGAGGGTTTTCGCGTTCTGCGAGCTGGTGCTGTTCTGGCAAATTTCGGAATTGAATACCTTTTTCCTTAAACATGTTTTCGATCTGCCCACTTCTCACTACCTCGTTTCGGCCCGCTTGCTTCTTATTGGAGTTGTAGTTGCACCATCAGTACGCCAATACTATTGGTAAGTGATAATTACTGATCAAGCATTCCGTGTAATACGGTTGAATGTTTTAGCTATGTTACGGATACTACCTGCAAAAGAGTGGGCACTCAATGTTGGGTGTATGGCTGCATAATGGTGACCGAGTCCATGATTTGCATCAAACACGGAAAGGAATTGTTTAAGCTCACGCACCCACTCAATATAGTTGTCTGGTTTATAGTTCAATTCCTCATGTCTGTTGTGTGTGTTGTAGGGTATGCCATTTATCATAAGTATTGGTCGAAAGCAGGACAATCAAAAACAGGGAAAAGGAAAACGAATTGATATAAATCAAGGAAAATTGACTGTATAAATTGAGTGATGAGTCTCGATTGTGTTCCTTTAGTAGGTGTAATTATGTAATTTTGAGTCTGGGATTTTCTGTGATATGCTCCTTTTAAACACTGAGATTTCCGTAATTGGGAACACCTAACTGCTTATCGCTCTTAACACATTTCTAAGTAAATACTGAAATATACCAAAGAATAGCATTATTTTCACTATAAACTTTGCAGCTTGTACTTCGTTAGCCTTTGGATAAGTTTCAGTAAAACGCTTAGAGCTCGATCTTAATTTTCACTCATAATTAGTCCATATGCATCAATTAATATAGTACCAATTGAGCTCGAAATCTAATTTAAATAAGTTTCCAGATTTTAGATAAGTTAGCAAAATTTTCATTGTACTTTGTGCCATAAATATCTAGTTGTAATTGCATAGGTATAGAAAATAAATTGGTTTTAAAGTAATTTTAACCCCGTTTCCCTAGATAACGACGATAGTTGAAAATTCGATTCAGTCAGAACAACATGAGTGAGGAAATTCGAGTGGTTTTGACCCAGTAAACGAAATTTGAATGTCATACATTGAACCAGAAACAGGAGACTCAATTGACGCCCACCTCAGATCTTATTAAGAAACTTTATATTTCATGAAACAAATATCATAACATTTCCTGACACGAACGACTTTTACCGGATCCAGTTAATTATTGTCTTATCGGCCTTTTCATGTTTTTCTTCGTTGATGCATTTTTTATTTCCTCCTGCTTATTTTACTGTATTCCGTAATTTCATTTGAGCTTCTCGAGTTCGTATCAATATTTTGCTGGATTTGAAATATTTTGCTTATTACAAAACGACTTATAAAATTTTATCCTTCATTCGACGAAAAATGGGTTTAATTCGAATATTTTTTTAGGGCGAATGGCCCAATAGATTTTTACATGGGTACACATATGCCATTTAGCTGGCTCCTAGCCGAAATGGTGAATGCTCTTGAAATAACAAAAATGTCCATTTAATTTGACTAACTTGAACCATAAGATTAGCTTTTATATTTTCTTAACAGTATAAAATTATGCATATGAGTGCACTTCTAATTCTTGCTGAATTGTTATAACGAGTGTTTCTCGGGCGCTCGAGGAATCGCATCGGAACAGTGTAAGCGGTCAAGCAAACTACTTCTGAAGATGCAAGCCACTCGTGCCTGCGAAACGTCAAGAAGAAATTCTACCGAACGACGGCCTAAAAACCCATTAGTTTCAAGGAATGGCCTCGAAAGTCTATCTCTTTTGATATCCTAAAAGTATGTTTAACAATGAAATTAAAATATTACTATGAAGTTGTGTAAGATGTTCCGACGTTTATCGGTCGGATAGCGGAAGAAAAATACCATTTTTCTTGAGCTACGTATCGGCTATACTTAAGCGATTGTCAAGGCTCAAGAAGGGAGTCAGAGCGATCACAATCATATAAATGAATAATAAAAGATAATACTAGAAAAACGATAAATAAAATTTCTCTTGCGGTGCATTCGCCAATTCGTCTAAAAATCTTATCATTTACACGTAGAATGCTCAGCAAATCGATATGAATACTGACCAAACTGATTTGAAGCACATGAACTTGCAAATAGAACATCAATTGTTGTTCCTAAGCTTTATAAAAAAAAAGAAAAAAACCGAACCGCCTGTTGTAAATAAATACAACAGTTTGCATGTTGATTGTTCTTTACATTGGAGCGATTTGCAAGCAAGTGGGCGTTCCCTTAACACCCCGAAATGAAAGTGACCTCCTCTTACAACCGTCTAGTAAACCAGACTGATAAAGTGAATATCAAGGACGCACATTTTACAAGCGAAACACCCATTAATCAATCAATCCCGAATGTTGTTCATGTAATAAACAAGAATATTTTCAAAGCCACAACTTGCAAAATCTTATGATCCCGCGGCACCCCAACAGAGCCGTGATGGGCTGTGGCCTGGGGATCGGGACAAAACTAGGCCAACGTCCCCAGTTTTCACACAAGCCAAGCCGCAGATTATATATCCGTTTCTCTCGCTTTGTTGGGTTTGAAAAGGAGGGCGATAGCTGGGAATTGGCGTTGTCTAGGTCTCAGAGTGGAAACGACTTAAGCAAATCAAGCGGGGAGTGGCGGGGCCTTCTGTGTAGACTGCTGACGCCCATTTGCCCTGGCCTGATCACCAACTGTTTTGCTATAGCTATCGAATTTAGGGGTACATCGGCTGGCTTCATTCAATGGTGTGCATGGGCGCAGAACTTTTATTTTATACCACATTATTTATTAATCAATATATTCTATATGTTGCGTTTAATCGCTTTAGTTATCAGTTGTAGTAGGCTACGCATAGTAAAACTCCCAATCAAAATCCGCAATTGGTAGCAAAGTGGGAAGTTTTGTCAGATTTCAAGCGGGCGTGGTGTTGGTACAAGTGCACCTACAAAAAATACGAAAGATTCAAAAATGCCGGGAATAAAACTGGAGGAAGACAGGTCGAACTGAGGAAGCTATAAAGAACAAAATAGCCAAAAGAAAACAGGTGGTAGGGGCACTAAACTCAAAATTCTAGCAAAAAGCATCAGACCAGAAGCAAAGACAAAAATATATGATGCCAGATTGAAACCAATTTACTATCAGTTGAAATGGATTTCAACTCAAAAAACAATCGTAGAAGACAACGAAAAACAGTAATTAAGATGGAACGGACATGTGATGCGTTTGGGGGAAGAAAGACGACCGAGAAAAATATTGTAGTGAATAAATTAACTGAATAAAGCAGCTCTATTCGCTCAGGCTTGCTTCAATTGTTGATTTAAAATTAAATTTTCAATGAAAATTTTTCAGTTCAGCCTCAAAGCTTTTGTCTGCCAATCTATAAAACAATTACCAATTTTGCACCGAAGGAATTAGAAAAATACACCGGATTTTAAACAGATTGCTGAAAACGAACTTACATAGTCACAAGCAGTCAGCCATATTAAACACGTGGTACAAGAACATTGTTAAGTATCAATGAAAAACACTTGCTCAATCGTTATTTTATGGCTTAAAAAGGAAATGAACGCATGTTTTAACCAAATATTTCCCTCTAAAATATTCCATTTGAATACATTTTTACATTATCGTTAATAACTGTAAGTTAATTTCATGAATTTCGGATAACAGCAAGTATCAAGCGTGGGTCAACATCAATGCAATTATAATCTCATCACAGACCCTGTATCGACATCATTTAGGGCTATTGATAAGATAGAGCCGATTCAAATTACTTTTGATGCTTTATAGTTAAAAGTTATATAAGAATCAATATGCGAAAAAAAATGAACTACGAATAAGTTCCATGGGTGCACAGTGGAATATTGAAAATAAAATCTGCTCATTGCGTAAAACAACAGTTCAACTTGATTTTGCTCAATTGACTTGAAAAGGGCCTCAAATGCTAAACATGAAGCCGACAGTTTTCCTACAGCTTTGAAGAGACAAAAGTGGCTGATCAACAACATATGGAAATTAAATGACCCAGAATCGTTTGCAGATCAACACGTGGAGCCCCTTCTAGGTTTTGCAAGAAATGACCAGAGGATCATCTGTTTTCAGAAGTAATCTTAATTTTTGCAACGAAAACTAACGAATATGGGCGGTGGAAGGTGAAATGGCATCGCAATACGAACATTCTTCCATAGATTTTCAATCTTATGGAAAATTGCGATTTTGAAATGCCTCCAATTCGCTATCCGTTAGTGTGGCGACAGCAGAAAAATGTATTTGCACTCTTGGAACTTGGCTTCAATGGCAGAAGACCGAACAACTGGACTGGCCCTATTCATCTTCACGAAGATTTACCCGCTCAACTGGAGCAAATGGAGGAAGATTACCATTGAATTGAATTGTAATCTTCTCCTGTCTCCATGTTCCAACATATAGCACAAGATTAATTTATGAAATTTCGAAAACACCTCGTATGCCCACGTCCTTAGGTGTTAATTTAAAGGTGCAACGTCGCTGAAGATTGGTGACCATCAAGCATTTTCCAGCACAACTTTAAACTGAAAAAACATTTCTTTTTTGAAATCTCTCGGCGTTGATTGCACGATAGTTTCAAGCAGTAAACGTGCGCTAGTCATACAGAAAATAAATTGTAATTTGTTGAAATTGTGGCAAGCAAACTGCTGCTACGCCTATGGCTTCGGTTTTAAGCACCAGGCCGGTTAAGTTGAAAGACCCCTGGCGGATCCTCCCCACCAGAGGCAGTCCTCAAATGGCGTGGTTTGTGCTCCGTTCGGCCTGCCTGTTTCCCGTGTGATTTGCCTGCGCTAGCAACTTTCATGGACTAAACGCGAATAGTTACACGCCCAGCTGGAAATTTTTAGTTTACACATAAAATAACACGTTTTTGGGGACAATCATTGTTGCTGTTTCGGTCTGGTTTTTGGAAAATGTGCTTAAAGTGAATAGAACGGTCTATTTCCGTCTGAATTCGTGGTGACGACAGAAAAGCTGCGATCGCAGAACACGAACGACAGCGGCGCTCCTGCACGTTCGCTTTGTTTTAGCCAAGGAAAAAAGGATGTCCGAGGAATTTGTGACCAAGAATGAGCGCTGACGCCCAGCTAAAGACAGAATACGTTATCGAAAACACGACAAAGGTAATTTTTGGTGTGCAAAAGGGTGGGCCGTTAACTAGCGCCGTGGGTGTATCTCGGTCCGGCAGCCTACTAGGAGGCGGAGGTCGGCCTTCGAGGTCGGCTGAACTCATCACGTGAAGGGTGCCTGGTTAACCGTACACTTTGAATTGGGTGGGTGGTCTTTATCGGGCCAGCAGAATACTTAGGCCAATAAAATAATTTCCTGCATTTTCACCATGCTTTCTACTACGTTCAGGATTAGAATACTCTGCTTTCCTTAGTTGTTGGCCTTCACATGGTTTATCTCAGATTTTAATTTACCTGGCCGTACCCTTAAATAGATTAGCCGTTAGTCACTTACCATTGTTAAACCGATTTTATTGCTAGACGAGGTCTAGTTTACCTAAACTGGCCTCCATTTTACAAACATTTGAAAAAGGTCGTTTTCACACACATTTGTTGGGGCATAACCAACACCTCTTAACACCATGTTATTAAGACGATGTTTGAATAACTCAGAACTAACACGCCTTGAATAGAACCAAATCAAGGGGAGTTTCTATCAACTAAAATTCTGTAAATATCTGTTGCTTTACTGCTAAATAATTTACGGCCAAGATGTTTAAATCTGGAACGCAGCTCTTGAATGTGAACTATCAGTTAACAATATGCACCTGATTCTTTTATTCAACGTGAACGACGATTTACCTATATACGCACCTATTTTGCTCCTGGAATGCACTGTTTAGCTTAAAAACCGATTTTTTTGTCTAATTAGCACACTGACACAATTTATTTTTCATTTAAATGACTGATGTGTCAAAAGCTGTTAAAATGAAAGATAATCATGTCAAACTATCTTGACAGTTAAAAAGTTGCCACGTTTATTCAACATTAACTATTTTCAAATACCGATATTTATGTACCTACTTAATTGATTCATTTTGGCCCTGAAAGGTACATTTTTATATTAAAAACCGATTTTTGCCTAATTAGCACAATTGGAAACTACTTATCTTTCATTTGATTGACTGTCAAAAGTCATTAAAATGAAAATGACAAAATGTCTTGGTTTGCCAGTCAAAAAAGTTGCCACATTTATCAAAAATATTTTGTTGATAGAAGTGGCAATATTTACATACAGGGTGTGCTGACGTCGAACAGCTTTACCAATTTTGAGACAAATTTAAAAAAATTCCGAAAAAACAGAAAACCAGTTAAATCATGTTTAAATGTCGGTTGTTAATTCAATTGCTATCTGTGGTCTGCGCATTATTTTATATTCAAGCGGTGCTAAAAGTCCGTACGGTTGCTAAAGCTGAATCCATTGTATTACCGACACTACGCGTAAGGTAAATTCAAAGGCGATGTAAAGCTGCGTCCCAAATTTCCAACTTCCCAGTTGATGCTTAGAAAAAGTAGGTTTTCAACTTATGGGCCAATAAATCAATTGCAATCTGCTTAATTTTAAAAGGTGCTGCTTTCCAAACTTTCTAGAAAAACTTAGCATTTGCCCATTTTTGTTCCTTCCTTCAATTCTATTAGAAAATCATTAAAAAAGATGGGCAGTTTTTAAATAAAAAATTATATTCCATTCAAAAAAAGGAATTATTTGGTATTTTTAAGTGTGGAACTTAAGTAAGTGTGACTGACAGTCACACAGCTTGTAAAACAGCGGTAATTTTCATAGAGGGCGGGTAAAACGTAATGCCCCGTCCACACAAACTGCGATGCGGCGAACGCGCGACGCGTCCGGAAACGAGACAGCGTTTGTTAGCGTCGCGTATGCATAGAACGCATTTTGCCCGCATAAAGCTCCAAATTCTTTAAAAAATACTTGTAACGGCTTGAAAATAGCCTAATGATGAATTTTATTTTGAAACACCCTGTATTGGCTGAATTTTTGCATAATTAAGACCCATCGAATAGCTCAATTTCCGTTAAACTAACATTAATGCACTTACTCAATTAGCATCACTTAGGTCATGTTTCTACCAATTAACGTTCTCCTCGACTTCTTAGCTGCGTTCTCTATTGCTGCGATCTATAACAGTGCATATAATTGCGAATATTCAAGAGCCTTTCGCAAAACTGTTGGGAAAATACCGCAAAAGAATGAAATTTCAGTCTGGAAAAGTTTTCAAAAACTCGCTCAAAATCTGCTAATTGATCAAATAAAATTAAAACAAAGATGGCTTTTGATGTGTTTCAGGAGCAGCAAGAAGACGATATCAAACCATCACCTTTAGCGCTTTTAGCAGCAACCTGCAGCCGCATCGGGCCCGGTGATCTTCAGGCGATCGTCCCAACTCCTCTACAAGTTCACGCATCAAATCCCTCATTCATTATAAACATGTCGACGACACCAACGCCTCAAAATCAACAGATGAAGCAGCAGAATGTTGCCATGCAGCAGGCTGCTCAAGCACAGCAGCAGCAACAACAACAGCAGCAGCAGCAGCAACAGCAACAGCAACAGCAACAAGCACAGGTATGGTATTCTTAGGGGGAAGCAAGTGGAGTCCTTCGATTTTTTTGAGCTTCTTAAACGCATGTTATTTTGCAGGTTTTGAGCGCCACTGCCCAGCAAATTCAACAGCAACTGTTGCAGCAACAGCTGGTGGCTGCAGCTGGACAGAATCTCGCTGGGTACAGCGTCGTGCAGGCACCGGCTGGCATGCAGACGCTCAACGTTGATGGACAGGAGGCGATATTTATACCTGCAATGAGCTTAGGTAATTAAAAAAATGTTTCCGATTATTCTGCATCGTTTTGCTATTAAAACATTTTTTAAGCCAGCTTGAAGCATGGGCATTTTACACTAAAATACAATTTTACACATAAGAGGGCGAATTTCATCTGATTTAATCGGTTTTAACAAATATTTACAACCATTCTTCTGGAGAAAAATTTCACTCAAAAACTGAAAATATGTATTTAAATTCAGTTTTTCATTCCCAAATAGAATAGAGCTGTTCTCATAACATCGTTTCGCGGAAAGGTGGATTCAATCATTTTAAATCCGGCTCGAAGGACCAAATGACTAATGGGAGTTTAGTTACGCACATTCATTTAACGCGACTCTGGATAGTGTAAAAAGTTGAAGGCAGTTTTCGATTTTTTTTCGTATTTCAGCAGCTTTTCTTTTGTTGAGCCATTGAATCAAATTTAACTATTCCTTTTTTCACAAACTTCTTTTTGGGTATTTCGCTT